AAGGAATCGGAGAAGGAAAAAAAAGTTAGAGAAAATTGTAGGTAGAACAATAAGAGGAAAAAAAAGGAAATTAAAAGTTAAATGTAAAACAAAAGTAATTATGTATTTTCAACATGGACAAAATTTACTGCATCAAAAATAGCTAAAGTACATTTGATACTGTTATTTTTCATATAAACAACTAGTATAGCTGCCATTGTGAAATTATGGAAGAGATAATATATTTAATGGTAAAATAGAGGGATGGCTTCTACCTTATGGAAGTTGGGGAGGTTGCTCCCACAGGGGTAAACAGCGAACCAAATTGTAGTTTAAACACAAATGGAACTAGCGTTGCTTCTCTTGTTGGCACATCATAGAACCTGCTGTTCCCAGCTGGAGCTGGTCTTTTGCTGACATTTCAGTATTTTGCCAAATTAGTCAGGGCAGTTTTGCTGTAATTGTTTTTGACATTTCAAAGTGAATGGGCTGGCTTTCTATTAAATGGACACAGAGATTGAGAGTTAGAGGGGAAATCTTATTAATCTGAGTTTTGCCTAGCTTTTTTTAAAAAAAATAAGTAGTGTCAATGCAGTAAATTTGCTCAACTTACACATAGTTTTATGAATTGTTGAAATTCAGTGGATACAAACTTTTTTTTTGAGCAAGGAACTGTATAGCTCAGTATAGCACAATATTATATGGCATAATATTGTAAACAGATGACATAAAAGACATTTTTCAAAGAACTGGGATCGTATTTACCCAAGAGAATGAAGTATCTACACCCCACTGAATGTATTTCAAGTCTCAGTTCCATCGACTGATTGAAAGGATTCAAATATAGGAGGAGATTCTGCTATTCTTTCAGGAGTTTTAACCAGCTAGCTCAGCTCATCCGGTGTGGTTGGGAGAAAAAGCACAAATCTGACTGTTGCTTTCCAGTGGGCAGAACAAGAGGGGCTTAATTTAGTGTAATTTGCTATGCTACAGTATTAACTTCATCTAGCTGTCCTCATCCACCCCCCTTGCCTCTGCAGAATTTTATTCTCGTTGCGTACCTTCAAATCACCATTACCAAATGAGGAAGCCCTGCTTCCTGCCTTGTATTTACAGGCCTGCTCTGGTCCTCACTGGAGTGATCTTGCTCGCTTCCCTGACATTAAGAAAGGGGGTATTTTTTTATCACATTATTGTGTTAAATCTTCTCACCAAAGGTCTGGTGGAAGTGAAGGCAGATGGAAGGGTACAATGTCCGGTTTACGTTGGTTTGTTTGTCTTGAAGACTTCAGTTGAGTGGAGTTCATGGCTCAGAAACTCAAGTGCTTAAGTGAACTAGAGCAATTAAGTAGGAAGCTTCTCTCCACAGTAGAAATTGCTAGTGTTAAGGAAGACAAACCATGATCCTTCTTCTCTGTCCATAGGTGCTATATTGCAGGAAGAATCATGGAATTATAGAATGGGTTGGGTTGGGTTGGGTTGGAAGGGACCTTTAAAGGTCCTCCAGTCCAACCCCCCCTTCAGTAAGCAGGGACATCTTAAATGTTCCCAGGGATTGGGGCATCTACCACCTCTTGGGCAACCCCAGTGTTTCACCACCCTCATCATACACAATTTCTTCCTTGTATCTTGTCAAAATCCACCCTCTTAGTTTAAAACCATTTCCCTTCGTCCTATCGCAAACATGCTAAAATGTTTATCCCCATCTTACAAGCCCCCTTTAATTAACAAGAGTGCATGCTGTTACCAACTTAAATTTAAAAAAACACCAAAATAAAACAACAAAAGGGTTATTTGAGGTTTTTAAACTTTTTATCAAAGACTAAAGTAGCATTTTCTCTTTTGCTATGATTAATCCGCATAAATATTTGGAAAGTGTTTTACAAAATAATATAGAGACCAGCAGAGTTGAAAATACTGCTACCCCTTGTGCAACAAAATGACAGCATTTACTATCAGAGTTAGAAGTAAAATACAACCAGTGACAAGGGCATTAAAAAGGCTCTGTCGGATGAGGGAAATATGCTCATAAGATTAAGTAACAAGAACTGTTTACACAGTTCAGAAATGACTGGAAACAGTCAGAAGTTACCACCTGGATAAAGAGCAGGGTATTAGGGAAGATGTGCTTATGTTTTTTTGAGAGGAAAATACATCCAAGTTCTTGACTATGAAAATGATAGAGTGATAAATTTGTATGTGGTAGAAATTGAAAGACGTTTCCAGTATAGAAAGAGCAAGCTTGAAGTCTTTGAAATATGGCTTTTAAACCTGGGGTTTCCTACCTGCTTGCTACACCACATGGAACAAGTGAGGATAGCAGCAATAAAACTTTTGTTGGCAGATGAGACTGCAGATAGAAGTTTGTTGGTTTGTTGTTTGGGGTTGTTTTTTTTAAAAAAAAGCTTTAAATGAGCCTGTACTGTTAATCAAAGTAATCAGTGTTGCTAATAACTTACAGGTAATTAATGCAGTTTACTCATGGCTGGTAATCTGAGGAAACACAAGGAATTTTCCTATGCTTTCCAAATTTCAGATATACTTTTTAAGGGCAGATCAGCCTCATTCTAGTTAATACAAGTAGGCATCAGTAAAACAATAGAATTCTCTGAATCAGGTTTGGCAACAGGATTGTGGTAAATAATTTGGCAGAGCATTACGCTTTTATTACCTGAAGTGATCGGTTACTTCATTTTTGTCTCCAGTCCCAGTTCAGATGAAGCTATAGATTTTGGCCAGAATCAGATGCTTTATGACTCACATTTTCATGAACTGTGGTGAGGTAGTGCACTTCCATTTGGTATTTTGGGTTTGCTCTTTCAATGAAATCACAACCCCAACAAAACCCCCAAAAAAACTAGAAATACATAACGCTCATAATACTATTTCTCAGATGATTTGATAAATCAAATAGTAGGCCTTCTTATCTCACTGAAGGAAAAAAAAAAACAGGTTATTTATTTTTCAGTTGATAGAGCCAGAGACCACTTTTCAGACCCTCAGTTATTTGCTCTAACTAATAATCTGTCCTGATTTATAAGAAGATGCATGCTGTAATCTTGTATAACGCCAAAAGGGCTAAGTTTTGGAAAACTGTTCCAAGGCAATGGCTAACAGCATTTACTACGACAAGTTTAAACCTGTTCTGAGAGAAACAATTTAGGTACTATGTAATTTTTCCCAGTGTTTTGTTTAGACACTTCTTTTTTCAACAGTTACAGTAGATCTCTGTTAATTCACTTACAAGGCACTGCCTTTCCTACCTGCTCTTGAAAGAAAGTCCAGGAGTCAAAACACTGATTTACATCTGTATACAAGTTAGATTAAACTTGCTGCTGTTTTGCTCCTCAAAATCTACTTCCTCCTCTTTGTCCTTCCACCTAAGGACACTTGTATTTGTTTTCAATATTCTAATAGCACCTGGATTCTCAGAGGGAACCAACTGCTTTTAAAATCTGCAAATGTGGCAACACTTCTGAATTCATGAGTCACCATAGTCTACCTCTTGTTGATTTTTTTTTTTTTCCTCTGCTAACCCTGATGGATCAAGTTCTAAAAAGAGACAACACAAGAGTGTCTTGGGCCAGGAGTTGATGTATGAGAGAAGAAAAACAAACAACCCAAACAACTGCCATTCAAAGGAATTTTCTCCCTTTACAAGGAGAGGTAAGTTTATGTTATGTTCAACTAAATTTGAAACTTTGCTGCTTATTTATAATAAGCAGAATGTGTCTCGCAAATTGTTACAAAACCAGTATTTTCATGTCATGGCATATTTTGAGTATCTTCAGGGTCTGAAGTGTAGATTCTTTTGAGTAAATTTGAAGTGTTAAACCCTATAGAAGGTGCAGTTTAGTGCCCAAAGCACTACAGCATTGATGTTTAACAGTTGCACAGTCTTAAGGGTTTTTTTATTAATTATGAAGGACAAGACTTTTCCTTGCATTGCATGAAATACTTTGCAAATTATTTGTAGAAACAGTAGAAGAATCAAATTTAAAGTGTTTCATTTCTGTAGTTTATTAAAAAATGTTGAATTTGCCAGATTAACACATCCCTGTAGTGACATTAAAAAATCTCTGAACTCTAAGCCCTGTGAAATCCCTTTCCTTGAAAGTGCTCCTATCAGTCCCATTAAATTAGTAATTTTTGAGTCCCGGGGAAAATCTAGACAGAAATGTGCTCTATACTCAAGATGCACATTAACAAATTTAAAAAAATAGTTACCTAAATCAAAAGGAAATATGGGAGAAATGTTTTTAAGCTTATCATTCCATAGCTTCATTATAACTCTGTTTTGGTTATCAACAGTGATCTCACATAATTGACTTATTTCAGCCTTACAGAACAGTAACCTTCAAGAACTTCAAAAGGCTTTCACCTTTCAAAGAACTTTCACAAGTAGGGCAAAAGTGAACTGAAGCTATCCCAACACGGGGATTTCCCATCTCTCCAACGCGAAAGAAGCTGCAGAGAGGTTTGTGACTTGTCAAAGGCCAAATCTGATGCTGACACCTTAGGAATAAAAACAGAGTCCAATGTCCACTGATTCCAGCTGGGTTGTCTGTATTTTTAAAAAGACCTCCTTGTGTAACATTTTTGCTGTGCCTTCTTTATATTCCAAGATTTGGAGTGTTTTCTTCTTTACAAATGCATTTGCAGATCAGCAATACTCTGCATCTCACTCAATAGCACTAGCATGTTAAAAAACATTGACATTCTGTGAAATGTTACATACAAAACATTCAACCTTTATATATAAAAATGCATTTTAGGCACCAAATTAAAATACCATTTCCTGGTGTCAGCAGTGGTCAAATGGGGGGTGTGTGGGGAATTTGCTGCAGCTTAACTTCTTTGCAGGTGTTCAACTATATAGCTACTGTAATATAGGAAAACACCAGCCGGACGTGTTGTCTGTGAGATCTTCTGATAGAGCTTCTGTGGGCACAGGAAGCTTCTTCCACTGCAGTGCCATCTGAGTTAGAGGTAAAGGGATGGCAACGTTGGTCTGTGACTTGCTCAGCAAGGTCTGTAGGCCATATGATGCTGGGGACTGATATTTTAATAAGATGTAAAATTAAGAGTGGCTACAACTGGAGATAGAGAAATTGTATTGATACAGTTAACTGGTAACTCCTTAAAATTCTTGATTATTGCTCTGTGGATACTGGTTCTTTATCTAATACAATGTTTAATTCTACTTAAAAACCATTTTGTCATCCCAGTAGGGCACTACATACACAGAGTGCTGGTGTGCACTTCAGTAAGCTAAATGATTTGACAAACTAAATGTCTTTTTCAACATTCACATTTTTAAACTGCAAGAGAAACACTGTGAAACCTGGCTACTTTTTTAACAAGGGACAAATCTCTAGTTATTTGCTTAACAGCCCCTGACCCACTGTAGTCAGTCACTTTGACCTGGCATTTAGTGCTTAACATCAAAACCATTCGATAGAAGTACACTTTGTCTAAATAAGTAATGTGCCATTCAATAAATGGTTCATTTTTATCCAAAACTATAATCACAAAAATACAACAATTTGAGTAGCATGTTAACCAGCTATGTCTCAAATCAGTGTAATCCAGAAGCAGTAATATATATACATTTCCAAGATCAAATAATGAAATAATTTTCATACTTAAATCTACTTCTAGAATGAAAATTCACACAGCAATGAAGTGAATATATCAAACAACAAAGCAGACTTTTTATGATGGTTTAAAGTATTAATAATCACCAAAAAAGGTTAGTGTCAATAAAACCAATTAAAATACTGTTCCTTCTAAAGAAAAAAAAGTGAAACTATTAATGAAACATCAACAGTGTGAGGGAATGGCTCAAAGTGCACATGGAAGAGGGTGGCAGTACAAAACTTAACTCTTTATGCATTCCCTTCTCTTAGCGCAATAACCTTGTGCAAAGAGCAGTCCTGCAGCCTTTGCAGCACATCACTTTTCCCAAATGGGACCTTCACTTCTTCCTGGTTACGCTAAAGGTCTTTCACATTTTTGTAGACTGTCTTGCAATATGCAAGGTAGCACACACTTTAAAAAAAAGTATGTTATATTTCAGTAATCCCCCCTCACCCCAGAAGGAGATTTGTGACTAGGGGGCAGGAAGTGACATAGACTTTTTTAACACCCGTGCTCCTTTTGGGGGCCCTGGATAAGGGGGTGGGGGCACATCGTGTTGTCCATCTGAAGTAAGTGCTTGCTCATAAGTTGGTAGTCCTGAATCATCAGTTCTGAGAGGAAGTGAGTTTAGAGAAAATTCTTCATGCCTTCTGAAGATGCTAGATGAATTACGTCTTCTAGTTCTTCCATAATCCAAGTACCTAAACAAAACACCATTGTAAGTGGCAGCTTCTGTTTTAAAGGGAAGAAAGAATATAAAGTCTGTATTGTAAAAAAAAAAACCAAAAAAACAAAACACACACCACCAAAACAAAAAAAACCCCACCAAATCAACTAAAAAAATAAAAAACAAACTCAAGAAGCCAGCAAAACCCACTTGGTTTCAGTGATCAAAAAGCCTAGAAGCCAAATACTCTCTCCAAACTACAGGGTAAAAATAGCTCAGTAATGTGAAATTTATAGGGAAGAGGAAGTACATAATCCTCTTGTATTCTTTTCAGGTTTAGGATAAAGGAAGATGCAGGGGTAGAGAATTCATAATGAAGCTTTTTCTCCAACCTATTTAATTTCACATCTGAAGTGGGTTATGTGCCATGAAGAGCGTACAACCTTTAAAGAGCCAACAGAACATGTCAGACTTTCCATTGCAGGCTGCACCCTAATAAAATTATTCCATCTTTTTAGTAATAATGTTTTGGAACCAAGAACACCACACGCACACACAAAATCCCAAAGGTACATCAGCCATGCAAGTGGTGTGTTTCACACTGTTATTCAGCATAACTACTACTACTGCTCACCTAACTTTCCTTCCAGGAACGTAAGAAGCAGAACTTCCACTGGATTCTCTGAGAATACAGTTAGACCAACCCACAGTGACTTTTAAATTCCACTCTTAAGTTTGTTTTGGTGTTTGGTTGTTTTTTTGTGGATTTTTTTTTTTTAGTGAAATTCCTTACCCTGGTGATTGCCTCGATTTGCATCTACTTTTGCAGCAGTAGAAGATGAGCAGTGCAATTACAACTAACAGTACTCCAGCAGCAACCAAACTGATGAGAAGTCCTGTAACGTTAATCTTTTGTAGTGTCTCATCACCTGAAGATAAAACATGGGTTATTTTCATTATGTGTTCTTTCCATCTACAGAGCATACGGTATGAAATACTAAATTTTGTTGTGCTAGAAGACTGTTCGTTGCCACAAATATCTAGCTTGCTGTGAGAAGCCATAGTATCTGTGCAACACAACTGAAGATTATTATTTGCATTCAGCTTAAAGCAAAAGTGAGTAGATGCTCCCTTTTCTGTTGAGAAATGTCTTCTAATGCCTTCCAAATACTACTTCAGTACTTGGGCCTTTATCAGGACAAATCAGGATCCTCAAGTCATACTATTTTTTTAAAAAAACATCTGAAATAAGACTACTCTGAACCTGAATCAAATGGTTATATTACTATTAAAGAAAGGGGATGGGGTAGGGTGTGACACAAAGCTACAGAATTACTGCAAAGTTTACTGATTGTGTAATAAAACAAAGAAATTAACAACAAAATCAATAGTTTTTACCTACAGACTTATAATGGATCCCACTGAGATGCTTTATTGAGTATGTTTTATAGTACTAGATAATGCAATGTACTTGCACAGTTCGCAGTGAATTTCAGTAAAAAGATGAATTCTGATTTTGCTAACTGAATGCATAGTGTATTTTTAAGATTGTACTATAATAACACACACAGAACATTGCAATATAAGAAAACAATAAGAGATTACTTACCTATTTTTATTTTGGGGCCTTTAATTAAATAGTCTTTCCAAAAATCCATCTATAAAACCACAAAGGATCAGATTTATTTAAGATACATAATGGGCAGGCTTTAATATGGTACTGCGGGCAAAATTTAACAATGGCATAAACTGAACCAACTCCAGCTGAAGGATTTGCACTTGCTTATCCCGCGATTATTTTTCTCATACATTGAAGTTTGCATAAAAATTACAATTTCACAAAGAAGAAAAGTGCCAGCTGGTGAAAGAGAAAAGTGCTGGAAGGTTTCTGATGTTTTTTGTTTGGGTTTTTTTTTTAATATCAGGTTTCTTCCAAGCTGTATATAGGTAATGAGTTAGAAGATAATGCTATAGGAATACTCAGCAATAGCTGAACTACAGATTCGTTCTGTACTCCTTTCTTCTAAAACACTTCTTTGGCATGACAGAAGGACACGGTCAGCCAGTTAATACACAGAGCATATAAACTGGACATGGGAATACACATTCAAATTGGATGCTGAGAATTTACTAAAAAGAAATAATGAGATGCTGAAAACTCATATAGGTGTATCCACAAGAGGTAATTCTGAAGTTCCATTTACATTTGTTTGCAGAATTAGAGCCCTTATCTAAAGTCTTTAAGACACTAGTACATATTTGAGTGTATTCACTGTGTTACTAGAGGAATAACCCCATGTAATTGGAGCCTCTACAGTAGAATAAGCAATCATCTTAAGTGCTGTTTTCAGAAGGGCTACAGTATTTAGATACAGTAATTATTTAGTTAATAACCTCCTTCACTATATTAAATTCAGTTTAAACGGCTACCGTTTTATCAGGGTCTTCAAAAATTTCTCTTGCTTCTTCATAATTGCACAGTTCTTCAAAGCATTCTCTTTCCAGGTTATCCGCTGTGAATGCTTCAAAATCAAATCTGTTATTCAGAAGATGTCGTCCAATGAATAAATTGGCCTCCTTTTCTGATGTGAACACTAATTAAAAAAAAAATCAAGTTTATTTAAAACAAGTTAGGAAAGCTAAATTTGGTATTTTTAAAGAATGGTTAGTATCCTAAAGTAGCACACTGAGTCCACTTCTTTGCCTGGCATCTCTCAACTATACATAGGAAAAAGAAACATCAAGGTCTCCTTCTAAAGTGTCATCCTCGCTAACTTTTTTAACTATGCCATATAAAATAAACATGTTTTCCTTTCTCATAAAGCATTCCAGCTATTCTTTATACTGGCCAAGAGAATTTGATTCTCCTGACAGCTGTTGTTCAAGTTTTGGTGTTATCCCTTCTGGGATGTGGGCGTAAGTTTTCTACTGGAGCTCTTAAGAACAACATAATGGTCACATAAAGCAGAAATTCAGTCAGATCCAAACCCAACAAGACACTGACCTACTGGAGGAAAGAGGCAAGGGAGGGAAAAAAGAAAAAAAAATCTTCCTCCTAAAGAATCCTCAGTATACATTTATCAATATTCTGGTATCTCTAAGTTCCAAATTTTGTTTACATAATTTGAATTTTAAATCATAGCAGCAGAGTCCTATTCATTTTGTGTTTGTTCAGTTTTCACAATCATGCAGCGCGTTTTATGCAAAGGTTGGCATATTGCCAGGTTTATTTGTTTTAAGGTAGTCCATGATAGGAATTTTCCTGACAACGGGCACTTCTAAAGACATTTCATTCTTTTCTTCTTTTTGTAATTATTACAGGCTTCATGACGCCTCATGTAGTAAGTTGTGAGGTGAGATTCCAGAAGAGGTAGTGAAATTATAGAAGGCTTTGGAATACAGGAATGCGTTTTTCTCACCAGGCATTTTCCATAGTCAAGTTTTAGCCTGCTCTTGCTACAGCTTCTTTTAAAAAAACAAAAATCATTGTATGACAGAACTCGTTTTCTGGCTTGGTTTTCAGTGAAAGCCTAATCCAAGAAAGTCAGACTATTTGGTTAAACAAAATGACTAGAGAATTATTTTTGCAACTGTAATGCAGAAACAGCATTGTTACATACCAGGCCAGACAGCTAAAAAAGGAGATGAGATTCAGTATAAAGTTCTTCAGCTACACATTAGCTCTGTGTTCTTGTTAGCTTGTTTGGTTAGATTATCACATCATTCAGGAATTTTTACCCTAATAGTTACTGTTAGATCTTGCAATATCTCAAAAGGGTTTGCTTTCTGAAAACTTAAGAAAACTGCAGTGTAACTTGCATACTGGTTGTTTGCATCTTTAGTATTATAGTATATTGAAGGAATATTACAGTATATATTTATAATTTATATAATATATACAGTATACATCGAAGGAGCCACATGTGTGTGTACACATTTGCGTAGGGAGGGAGATCTGTTATTCTAAAGTAATTGCAAGAAAATCTAAGCTTAAAATATTTATGCTCTAAGAGTAACCAGAGAGAAGGACTTAATTTAAAAAAAAAAATGCACAAGTGAATAGGGGAAAGAATTACATGGAAAAAATACTATGAATATCGTGGTTCAGTGCACACAAGAATAACCTTAGTCTTCTGAAACAGTTTTGCTCAATAGTGTTCCATTCCTTACCGTGCAAGTAATATTAGCTATACCTCAGAATTAACATAGGTAATTGATGCCTTTTAGTTAACATGGAATGCACAGGCAAACTGCCTGGAGCCTAGGACCCCTAATTCCCAGTCATATGTACACCTTTTCTCTTTCGAAGAGTCTTTATCCATTTATCTGCCCTTTTTTCATTTTGTAGGACATAGAGTACACCTATCTCCATCTCCCAAATTACCTGCAACCTGGTGATTAAGATAGTATTTGGAGAATGAAACAGATGGATTTGAATTCTCTCTTCTATGTGAAGGAACCAAATGCAGTTCTGTAGTCCTTGGTTCAACAAAATGGTAACTGCAGTTTTACGATGCTTAGAATTCAATTTTAAATAATCCTAGAGACCTAAAGCACTCAATTGTCCCAATCCGCACTTACTACTGGATCTGATAAATACTTAATACCAACACCCAAGTCAGTTATCAGTCATTTCAGCAAGATATTCTAATATTCTAAAATTAAGCATAAAACAGCTTAATTTCTTTAAATGAAGTAGAAAACCCAACGACAAAACCAAAACTTTACATAAAGAGATTTCTCAGCAGAAGCAAAGTTAGATATGGTTTTACTCTGGAAAGCATAAAATCACGTTAAAAGTAAGTTACCATCTTTCCATTCAGGTTGCTCCAAGTTATTTAATCTCCTCCCTGTGCAGTGAGGAAACGCAAAGATCGTCACATGTAGTTGACACAGCAGCACCCAAACCGCAAACATGGTGTGGTTAATCTGTCAGACAGAAACTAACGTGAGTTAAACCAAAAAATGACAACGCAATCTCCCGCGGCGTCCGCGATGAACCCTGAATGAATCCTCTAAATGAGATCATCTCACACAAGCACCCACACGCGGCGGAGGCTGGTGGCTCCCCCTGCACAAGGACACCCATCCGAACTGGTCCTACACGTCTCTCCGTGAGTTTTCGTTGCGTAACACCCGCCCGGGTGCGCGGGGCCGAGCGATCCCCTCCCGGGACGGGGCTGGCGGCAGCAGCAGCCGCCTCAGGTGGCGACTTGCCGGGCAGCCACGGTGCCGCGGGCTCGCTCTGGCCCTTCGGAGCGCGGCGATGCCGCCGCCAGAGCGCCTGCAGCAGGGTCTAGGGGCTGCCCGACCTAAGCGGGCTACAGAAACCATTTTGTCAGGAGAAAGCTGCTCCCGCCCAACCCTCCGGCGGAGAGCCTGCCCCTGT